ATATATATATATATATTAGAATTATATAAACATTGCAATAAAAGTTTTAATACTTTGCATATATATAATATACATGGAGAAACTGTTAAAAGTTTCAGTATACTCTTATCAAAATGTTTTTGTTGGAGATCGTTCAAAAACAGCACGCCATTTTGATTGCCATTTATTCGTATTATCGGGCATTAATTTGCTTTTATTATCAGCGCAGATATACTCGGTGCTCTTGTGACGCGTGAAGAGAAAAGTATGCGCTTATCGGATAAAGTGTCAAGGGCGATGTAACAGCAGCAGGAAATGTTCGATCTCGCGTTTTAAATTTCTGGACAATTTTGGCGGACGCGCAGTGTATCATCAGGCGTGTATATTCATTAATTGTTGAAGACGCTCGTTATGTGTATTGTATACAATCGAATGATCTCTCCGACAATTAACGCCGTACGATAACCTTCGAGTGCCACGTTATGATTTACGGTGGCGCACATCGTATCCGCCACGCCGCCGCCTCGCTACGTAAGCCATCCGAGTAATCTGACGTTTCGAGTTTTCTTCAGGCCTAAAAAGATGCACCGAATGCTGTTCGGCAGCGGGATTATTTTTCAAATAATTCGAATCTATCGCTAAAATCGAATTTGTATCTTGTTCTTATTAATTAAATTTTCTTTAATTTCACATAAAATAGAGAGGACACGTGTCGCGGGAAAAGCGCTACGTAAATTGCGCTTCGAATTCTCCTGTGTATCCAAAGAATACGTCAAATCGAAAGAAAAGTGCCATTATTTTGACGTCATGAGGATCAAAATTTGACTGTTCGTTAAGAATTAAAATAAAGTCATACTGATTTTTGGTTGACTTTTGCGTGTGTTCCTCGCGAGTATCGCTTCTTTTTCCTCTCTACAATCTCTTCATCGAAATTGTATACGCGCGCGCGTTTAGAAAGCTCTTCACAGTCCGTAAACGAGGCCCCTCGATTGACGTCGACGAAAGAACGTTGCGGTTCCTGATCGCGAGCGGCCGCATTCCGGAGCGGCGCAAAAGTGCGGACGTGTTCGTTCCTCGCTCGCTCATCGTCTCTCGCCCGGGTGTTGTGAATGTAAAAATGTGTTATTTACCTCGCCGGTCGATTATTCTCCATCAGTGCCCCGGTGTACGTGCGGCGAGTGCACGCTCACTGAAACTGGCGTCTACCACCAGCGCGCTTTTCGCCGCCGAACGCGTCCCGCACACTTTTCCTTTCACACGACACTCACTTGATCTTGCCACTAAATCATCATTCGTTACTTAGCCTGCGAGCCCGCTGCCTCCGACGATTATCAATGCTGCTTTGTCTGTCGCGATCGATGCTGTCAATTTCAACTCATAAACAACAACGTCAACGACAATTATCGACGATAGTATCACGATAAGGAAATTCAGAAATAAAAAAATTCAATTACAAGAGAGAGAGAGAGAGAGAGAGAGAGGGAGAGAAAGGAAGGACCCGAATCACTGCTGTTCGGCACAATTGCGATTTCTCGTTTCGAGGAAAGGGTGGAAAGAAAGGGAGGAAGAGAGTCTCCGGTGAAGACGCGTATCCGAAAAAATCAGGAGTGATATTCGATCAACGACTACGTGTACCGATATAGTCAGGGCCGGTCGAGCGCCCAATGCGGACTGACTATAACTGTAAACGATCACTTGTCGGCGAAGTGAGCGAGGAGGCCCCACCGGCTTCCCTCGGGGACTCCCGCCACTGGCATGAATATACTCGTGCGACAACGTGCCAGCGTATACCGAGAGCGGCGTGCTGGCGTACACCGAGAGGTACCAGCGGACCACCTCGCGCGGCTCCCACCAAACCAGTTCCTACTCCAGAACTGCTTCCACCTGCTCTCTCGCGCTCTGAATATACTCCGAATATGCGCCCGGACGCGCCCGATCGATTACCCGCGGCCGAAAGAATCGAAAAGGACTCTTTCTTGGAATCGCCGGACTAACATTTAAAGAGCGCTCGCAGCTGAGCAACCCCCTTTTCATTCCGATCTCTCCCTCAACCTATGATCCCTCGAATTCTCACGGATTAAGAATTCGCTGATTCTCTGTTCCGATTTTGTAATCCTTATCATATCACGTGCGACTGGCTGCTGGTTTCATTAGAAGACTTTTCCTTTCGACGGACGGCGTTTGTTTATTCCCTCTCTT